AAAGAAGACATGAGTTGGTTATAATGGTGTTATTAGTCTATGGTGAGAATGCATGAACGAATTTATTTAATAATTATTGTTATTTCTAAAAAATCAATTGTTGATTATACTAAAACATTAAAACAGATTTTTTTATCTTAGAATTAATGCGCAATGTAGTCTTCTGAGATTAATAAAATCTAATTGAAATGTACTAACAGATAGTAGTTCGGTTTATTGAGGTTTGACTGTATTATTATTGCATGATAAATGTTCATCACATGGAAAAAAGGTATTTACATTGGGCTTAATGAAAAGAGTTATGTAGATTGATTTCAGAAAAATGAAATTTTTTTAAAAAATCTATATATATACCACCCAGCAAAAGCAAAAAATTCTTTCAATTCAATGCAATTGCAACATTTTTTATAAAAAAAACCAAATTTTTGCTAAATATGTGGAAACATTGATTGTGCCAAAAACCAGGCATGGCTAGACATAAAAAGAGACAATCAACAAAAGGCTGCACGGAAGTTGCATGACTTGCAAATATTCAATCTTTTTTTTGTAACTGTTATTCTCCAAAAATATCCATTCCGCTCATTATTAAAACACCAAGTCAAATTTTATACTTATACTTTATATAATGTCACATGGTAAACTATTATCATCGTTATCACCAGAAAGAAAGCAGTTTATGTATAAAATTTATGGTGAAATATATAATAATGCAGCATTTAACACTGAAAGAGAAAATAGAAAAGATTATTTCTTTCATTAGTCAAAAAAAACAAGGAGCTTTCTGAAAATGAAAAAGAATATTGCAAGGAAAAGTTTATTTATGATTTTGAATTAGATAATGCAATGTATGGATTGGGTGAACCAAAAGAATGTAACAAGTGTAAATTGATAAAATATTCTGATAGATTCTGTGAAGGTTGTATTGGTTTACAATTACAGAATCTTTTCACCACTTGGACATCTGGGAATAACATAATTGATGGTTTTATTCAACAATGTCAAATGAAATCATCTCTGCCAACTTGTATTTTAGAATGGATATCTTTTGAACAATTTGAAAAAGTAACAAAGTTGACAGAAGGTGGATTTAGTTCAATTTTTACTGCTACATGGACAAGAGGATGTATTAATGATTACAATGAAAATAAAAAGGAATTTAGTTATTTTGGAGGTAGAGGGCAACTAGTAGTATTAAAAAGTTTAAACAATTCAAGTAATCCAGGAAAAGGCTTTTTTGATGAGGTTGGTAGTGAATTATTGCAAAATTAAATCAAATTTAATTATTGACTGCTTTGGTATAACTAAATTTCCAGATAATGGAAATTATGCAATTGTTTTAAATAATGTTTTAGAAGGAAATTTAAGAGATTACTTGCAAAGAAAACCATTTAACATCAAATTACAGAATTACAATATTTTATCATTTATGAAGTGCATTAGATGATATACATGAACAAGATTTAATCCATTGTGATTTACATAGTGGTAATATACTTATGGAAGGATATTGTTGTTATATTACAGATTTAGGATTATGTGGACCAGTTGACAAAAAATTATCAAATAAAATCTATGGAATTGTATCATATGTTGCACCTGAGCTACTTAGAGGCAAAAGGAGCACCAAAGAATCAGATATCTATAGTGTTGGAATGTTAATGTGGGAAATATTTGCAGGACGTCCACCATTTGATGATAGAGCTCACAATCATAGTTTGATTTTTGATATATGTGAAGGTTTACGACCACCAATATTACCTGAAATGCCAGTAGATTATGCGCAAATGATGCAAAGGTGTTGGGATATGAGTCCATTAAAAAGACCAACTGGTAGAGAGCTTTATGATTTTGCTGAAAATAAACTAAAAGAAATTGTTAATGATGATGATAATAATAATAATACTACTACTACTGGTGGTAGTAGTGCTTTGAAACAAGCACACAAATCACATCCAGAGGCATATCATACAAGTAGAATCTTAAATGAAGAGATTGCTAAATTTAAAACCTTAAAAATTTATACAGGTAATGATGGTTCATTGAATAATCTTGATTTTCTCTAGAATGTTAACAAAGGTAAATAAACATTTCATTATTAATTAATTGGAAATTACTATCCATTAATTATTACTAAACAATATTAATTAATTAATCAATAAACTATAAATTTATAATTATTTTTTTATTTATCTTTTTTATTTCATTCTTACTTTGTTTCTCAAAGCTAAATTATAATAATGTTAAACTTTTTATAGTTTCCTGATTCTTGATAATGCAAGATATCATTTTTGTCAATTAACAACAATTAAGGCTTAACTTTTGGACTGCTCTTGTCAATTAATTGCAAATAATTTGGTGCTTGTCAATTAATTAGTTTACAAATTTAATTTGGTTTTCGATCATTGCCTCTTTCTTGCACCTAGACGAATCTGTGAGCACACTTGATGAAATAAATAAAGATGTCTTTTTACAATACTATAAAGTTCATTTATTCACTTGTAATCGATTTATTTATTTATTTATATTTACTGATTACAAACTCACTTTGGTTTATTTACAAAATAACTTAAGTAGCTTGTTTAACAGTCTCATGTTTATGATTACAATAATACTACCAGTAATACTTCATTAACCACTGTTGTTAACCAATGTTAGTCCTAACTTTGCTCGCTTGCTCATTAAAGCAAATTAAGCTACTAATCGTTGTTAGCACTCACTAGTTAATATTAATATTTCTTTATTTGTGAATTGTTATGTGGTCTTTTTTTGTCCTTATGATTAAGTAATACCTCAAGATGTATAAATACACTTGAATTTGCTTCAGTGTAAGGATGATCTTAATAACTAATAATAATTGATACCTTAACACACATTGATAATAATAACAAAATTATTCTTGACTGTAATTAATAAATTGATGTCGTGAAATACCTTTGCTGAATAAGCAAGTACCCCAAAACCTTTAATTATATTACCAAGGGGACAGCCTTTCAGAAATAGTTCTTTTTCTTTATTTTTATTTTATTTTTTTTTTGTAAAGGGTTATCCATTTGGATAGTGAGGAAAGTGGTTAGTGGCCATACAACCAATGGAAATCTTGCTAATGAATGGCAGCTATAGGCTGTGAACTTGGATTACACTCTCACATTTTGGTGACGATGACAGGACAATAGTCTTCACCATACTCGTTATTGAAAAGGCCTATATATATATTAATGGAATTAAAAAGACTGGAAGCATGTATTTTATGTGGAAAACCACTACTACTTCACAATTATCAAGACTATTTGATTAACGCCCAAAGAAACTAAATACCAAAATGTCATTCCGAGTTGAATTTTATCAATATTAAGTAAAGCGTTGACTGCAAAGTCATGCAACTTAAGAGAAATCTATATCGAGTTTTGACAAATGCCATTAACTAGCATGGCATTCCGTTAGAAGAATATTCAACCACTGTCATTACCAAACAAACCACTATTCCAACCATTATAAGTGATAGTTATTCCCTGTGTAGCAGGGTATAACAAGGGTTTCCCATGGGAAAACCCTCTTGTTATATCATCTGTTACGCAGGAAATAACTGATTTATTTCCTGGATCTCAAAAAAAATGTCAGGATCGATGTGACTAAAATAAACTTTTTTAATAAACTTTGTAAACATTTCTAATTGTACATATCATATTATTTATATAGTTTGATTC